CAGGAGGGCATTAACTGAACATGAATACAGTCTCATTGACATGACCACATCATGATTCAGAAAGCCTATTTAACAGTGCTAGGGGGACAGTTATTTTCAAGAAAAAGTTGTTCTTGGGTAGTTAGTTTTAATTTGAAAGGACTATCTTTAATTGGATATGAACGATGGAACCAATATTAGAAAACACATTTCAAACTCTACTCAAATACAAATTATACAATGGATTACTTGTTAGGTAATTGTTTAGAATAACATCCAGTATGTACAAAACTCTTACCTGTTGGGTAATGTTTCTGTGACGAGATAAAAGGAGGCAATAAAAGATTTTATACTAATCACTTTTCTTGATTAGCAATAAAAAAAGAAGTATGACAAAACTTGAAAATTGTATTATTATTATTTTTTGAAAGGTTTTTGCTATAGGGCACATGTGCTCCACCAGAAAGAGAGAGAAAGAGACAGAGAGACAGAAAGCGAGAAATCACCCCTCAAGGAGGATGACAATGCTGCAATCCCTTCTCCTCCATTCTCCTCTTGTGATCTTGGGCACACATGCACACACCCGGTATGAGTTTAAGCCACCCGTTCTGGGACTTGAACTGTGGTCAACTACATGGGAGTCAAGCGATTTAACCATTACACCATCTGCTGATCCCTTAAATTATTATCTTTTTAAAAATTATTATTTTTTAATTAGCTACAGGGCACTTGTGCTCAAAAAAGACAGAAAGAGAAAGAGGAAGTGAGAAAACAAGCCACCAGGACTGAGACTTGAACCACTATTAGCCATGTAGAAGTCCAGTGCCTTAACCACTATGCCATCTGCTGACCTAATAATTCTATTTTTTCATTAATTTTAAGTTATTTAAATTTCTACAGCATGTTAAATTTTTTTTGGAGAGGTTTTTGCTATAGGGCACGTGTGCTCGCCAGACAGACAGAGAGAGATAGAGAGACAGAAAGCGAGAAATCACTCCCCAGGGAGGATGGCCACACCGCAATCCCTTCTCTCTTCTCCTCTCGGGATCTTGGGCACATACGCACACGCACCTGGTGTGAGTTTTAAGCCACCAGGTCTGGGACACGAACTGCGGTCGACTACATGGGAGTCCAGCAACATAGCCATTATGCTAACTGCTGGTCCCCCAAAATAATTTTTAACCTGACTTTTGTATTTCACCATCCTAAACTTCATTATCATCTTTGGCAGTTCAAGAACACATACTATGCAAACTGAACTTCCAAAGGATAATGAGAATATTTTAGTATATACAAAATACAGCTAAATTACAGAGATTATAAACAAGCAGCCTTCAAGGTGGCAAATTAATCAAGGCTAGTACTGGTTTCAAATGATAATCATGACAGAAGTGGCACATGAATGGACACAATGCCAATTCCCGGGTAAACACATATCAAATAAGAAGGATATGAGATCTCGAAAGCAGGATAATGAACAGAAAAGTGGTAAAGGGGTTGAACACAAAGAAATGTATGAATTGCACTAAACATGTAAAATGTTGAGCTCACATAATTTAAGAAAATTTAAGAGGTCTAAGACCTTTGCAATCACTGGAATATAATTTGGAACTGAAATACATAGAATTCTGGGAACATCAGTAGGAGAAAACATGATCCCACTCTTAGGCTAACAGGCATCTTAGGTTATTCTCAAGTGAAATGAACAAAATTCTGGACATGTCATTAAGAGAAAACATGATCCAGCTCTTAGGTTCACTCGCCCCAGTGTCAACACACTGGGCATGAACCCAGGATCCTGATAGGACAGTGAATGGAGGAAAACGGGTTGTGGCATGACCAGTGGAGAACAGGGGTGGCAAGTACCCTGTTACTAAATACTTTCTTCTCTTTTCTTGCTTATGCAAATGTAATAAGACCTTTTGAAATCACTGTACAATTTTGTGTTACTTATAATGTTTACAACACTTCATGTTATATTAATTTCTGCATTTATAAGCTGCTTTACTAAATTACCAAAGTCATCAGATGTTTAGAAAGAGTATATATCTGTCAGAATCAGAAATTTCCCTTATTAGGATACTAAGTTCGAGAGATGAAAATTTACCGGTTTTGTCATTATCAGTTGTGATGTCTAAAGAAATGAGATTAAATGTATAAAGAGAAGAATTCTGTCAAATTTCTGAAAACAACATAAAGTGAAAATGACTCAGTTTTAAAATGTAGTACATGCAATAATAATAGCATATGATTAAAAATAGGCTTAATGTAACAATATGGCTTAAAATAAAGAAAACTTGAAAATGAAGTTTGAGATTTGTAACTTTAAGCACTAAATAGTAAAGCAAAAACTGTAATATCCTTTTCTATAATGAAAATCTCCCCATAGGCAAAACAAGCCTACTAGTAACCCACATCCCACAAAAGGCTGGTTCTGGAGAAGAGCTGGGTTTGCCCCACAGGGAGCTCAGAGCACTGTGGAGGAAATGAATGCACTCTATGAAAAGCCCAAATGTGAGAAAGAGTACAAACACATGCACTCTAGGTCAAACACGTTTCTGGAGCATGTGCCATGTTAAAGTCACAAGTGACGGCACAATTCCCAGAAGAGTGACTCTGTACTTGGAAAAGAAGATTCCTTTAAATCAGAGCATATGCAGAATTGATCAGTTTATTACCAAATTTCCTACTCATGATAGCAATTCTAGTTCCAGGAGGGCATTAACTGAACATGAATACAGTCTCATTGACATGACCACATCATGATTCAGAAAGCCTATTTAACAGTGCTAGGGGGACAGTTATTTTCAAGAAAAAGTTGTTCTTGGGTAGTTAGTTTTAATTTGAAAGGACTATCTTTAATTGGATATGAACGATGGAACCAATATTAGAAAACACATTTCAAACTCTACTCAAATACAAATTATACAATGGATTACTTGTTAGGTAATTGTTTAGAATAACATCCAGTATGTACAAAACTCTTACCTGTTGGGTAATGTTTCTGTGACGAGATAAAAGGAGGCAATAAAAGATTTTATACTAATCACTTTTCTTGATTAGCAATAAAAAAAGAAGTATGACAAAACTTGAAAATTGTATTATTATTATTTTTTGAAAGGTTTTTGCTATAGGGCACATGTGCTCCACCAGAAAGAGAGAGAAAGAGACAGAGAGACAGAAAGCGAGAAATCACCCCTCAAGGAGGATGACAATGCTGCAATCCCTTCTCCTCCATTCTCCTCTTGTGATCTTGGGCACACATGCACACACCCGGTATGAGTTTAAGCCACCCGTTCTGGGACTTGAACTGTGGTCAACTACATGGGAGTCAAGCGATTTAACCATTACACCATCTGCTGATCCCTTAAATTATTATCTTTTTAAAAATTATTATTTTTTAATTAGCTACAGGGCACTTGTGCTCAAAAAAGACAGAAAGAGAAAGAGGAAGTGAGAAAACAAGCCACCAGGACTGAGACTTGAACCACTATTAGCCATGTAGAAGTCCAGTGCCTTAACCACTATGCCATCTGCTGACCTAATAATTCTATTTTTTCATTAATTTTAAGTTATTTAAATTTCTACAGCATGTTAAAAATCATGCATTTTCTTTCGATAATTTCTAAAATTAATCACACTACTCAGTCAAACTGATAGGCTTTTCATACACACAGTATTTATGATTTTCAAATCAGTGTTTTCCCAATTTTTATTTTTGCTTTATTCTAACTTGTATTAGGATACAAGTTAGAATGAAGTAACTTGTATTCTAACTTGTATTCTAATAACAATCTAAAATTCTGTTAATTAAGTCTGTTTTATAAATGAATTTAGAAGTCATGAGAGAAAATCTACTGAGTTTTATATAACTTGAAATTGCTTCAAAGGTTATAGGTAGATATAGATTTAGACAAGCCATCCCTAGAAACACATATACAAACTAATTTTAAACGTGATATAAAATGACTAAGTAAGATGTGAAAATTTCCTAAACTGTGCCAGTCACAGTAGTGCCAATGCTTTGCAATGCTGAATCTAGACTGAAAGGTCCCAGGCTCATGTCCCAAGGTCTCTCTGTATGAGCTGGGCACATGCCCATGATCCAGGCTGCCCAGGGCTGGGAGAGAAACAAGGCATGATGACCCTGTTGAGAGTCTCTCTCTCTCTCTGTCTCATGAAATAAAGAACTAACTTACTTATTTAAAAAATACCCTAAACTAACCAAGAATAAGATAGTAAGAAGGTAGTAGATAATTAGAACATAAAAAAAAACCACACATAAAATATGTTTATAAAGGATGGTTAGATGCTAAGGATTCAGCAACAACACATCAAATTCATGTTTCCCTAAGACATGATGTTCAACAACAAGTTCTTTATCCGTTAGGTTCTTAGATGCTATCTCTTAAAAGCAATAAGAAGTTGTCATGTCTTTAGTCTTGTGCTTCTGTGAAACTAGAGCAGGGAAAAATAAGATAAAGAAACCTCTACAGGCTGACTTAGTGGCGTGATGGTAATGCACTGCTCAAGTGATGCTGGATATGCATGGGTTCAGTTCTCTAGTCAACCTTGGCACACTGAGTGTGCTTGACTCTGATCCTGGCTAGGAGGGCTGGGGGGAGATTGGTGTCAGGTCCTGTGGAAGGATGAAGCTTAGCTTTCCTTCCCACTCCATCATCTCTCACGTTCATGAAAGAAATAAACTTTAAAAAGAAACAAGTTCTCTACTCCCATAAACAAACCACATCAGCTATACATGAACTACCTCAAATCATTACCAGGGATAAGGCAGGACATGTAAATAAGCAAATACCAAGGAAATCGAAATTAATCTGGGTTACTCTACTACCTGCAGTTTGTGTTTTTAACATGAGAAACTTCTTGAAGATTTCAAATCTGTTTCACCATCTGATCAATGGTATGTTAGTACTATTTCTCCAGGGTTAATATCATATAATACATGATGTGATGAAAATACCTATTTGCTAAATTTTAAAATAATTATTAAATTGACTTACTTTCTTCTTTCTTGCTAATAATGGCAGGCAGGGTATAAATCTAAAAAACAAAGCATGTCAGTCAGTTATTTGCAGTTAGAGGCCCAGCCCAGACGATTAGCAGGGTGATGTCTGCGCAGAACACACAGAAGGAGTGTCCTGACTTCAAAGTCCTAGTGCTGCTAAGTCCACGGTGCCATCTGTCCACTCTGTCACTGACCTCCTTCTAATGGTCAAGCTAACCTTGCCCTCACTCCCTCCATCCCTGGCTGTCCTATCCTGGGTAAAGTTCTCCCTTTTCATCTGAGTCATGTGTCCGTGTCCCACCGTCCTCCCCAACACCGTCTTCAGGAAGCATCTCACAATGGGATTCACCTGATTGCCCCACTCCTTTCTGGAATCCTCGGCTTAGTGTTTCATGAACAATTTCTGAGCTAATAAAGTGGTCTTTGAATTTGTTCTAGGTCAGGGCTTCTCAACAATTTGTGATGAAGACCCAAATTGTGTTTTTTGTTTTGTTTTGTCTTAATTTAGCGTTGGCTGGCATTTTTGTAAACTACTATGATACTGAAATGGAAAACAAGAGACCTTGTTTGCTATTGTTAAATTCAGTAGATTTACACTGACTTCTTCAAATGTACAGATAGTTTTCTAAAGCCTTAATCCTAACTTTGCACTCATCTTATCATGAACTGTAACGTGTTTGAGGGAAGGCCTCAAAGTCCACGGGTCACAGTTTGCATGGCAAAAACACTTTGCCAGGATTGTTCAGATTCTCTGACATCTAAACGATGGTCTTCAAGGGACAGGATGAAGCAGATCTCCTGTTTAGCCTGGGTGCTGATCTCCCTACCCACCCACTAACCGAGTTCATTAAGAAAACAGAAGGCAGTGAGTGATTCATCTTCTTTTCTACATACGCCTCCCTAATATTTGTAAGTAAATATTATAACCATATAAAAATAACCCTATAAAAATGAGTATATGCATGGAAGTGGGTCAGTTTATCAAATTATACTTTATGAAAAGCATCTAAGGGACCAGTTCTTACCCTGAACCTTGTTCATCACTCTGATCACAATCCCTAGCACGACACTTATAAAGACTGGACACATAATAACTATCAACTGAATTAAAAAATCGAGTGAGTGTAACCAAATGAATGATCATTAAGCATTTTTAAAATAAGTAATATTTATGGTTTTACATTAGTCCTGGAAATTCTCCCTGAGAAAAATTTAGAAAATTAGAGTTATGTACTAGTGAGTAAGATAGTGCTTGGAAAGTAGCAAAAATCTCCAGTTTTTTCCTGGTATTATTTTAACATTATAGGTTCTACTATAGACACAGGAGAAAATATTTAGATATACTTTGTAATGAATACAACAATAAAACCTAAGTTATAAAATGCGAAGTTATAAATTCTTACCGGTTCCTTCCCATCCATGGCTTCAAGCCAGAGTTTCCTATTGGCTTCTGAAAAGGCCTGTAATGTGATGATCCCGTGTCTATGACAAACAAACATTTTATACATTCAATTTACTCCTGTTATGTCTCTGCACATTTACTACTTTTTAAATTCTCAGTTAATTACAAAGGTGAAATTAAAAAAGAGAGAGAGAGAAGGAAAGAACTAATAACAGAAAAAAGGAAAAAGGAATAGGCCCAGTCGTGGTCATGCAGCAGTAGTGCAATGCCCTGCAACGCTGGAGGCCGATGAAGATGGGAGTTTAGTCCCTGGGCTGACCTGTACATACTGGACATGCATGTGTGTCCATGACCCTGGCTGGCTGAGAAAGGTTGGAGAGGGATTGTGCTGTGAGACCCAGACACGTGTGTGGATGTGCCCAGGATTCTGGTGCAATAGAGAAATGGAGAAAAAAAGGATTGTGGCATGACCAGGTTCTACTGGGGGGTTCTTTCTCTCTCTCTCATGTACATGAGCCCTATGGCATAAAAAAGAAAATCTCCCATGCAGTTATTCTGAAATAATTATGTGAGGATATAAAAGAGAAACAGAGCAGAGGGAAGAAGGGAGGGAACCAATAAAAGAAAGAAAAAGATATAAAATCTTTGAAATAAAGAAACAAACCCAGTTAAACAAGAAAATAGAGGGCTCCGTGATTAAAAATCTGGAATGACTTAAACTGATAATGGCCTACATCTCTCTGCAAATAAGAAAATAGGACATCAGAAAGACAAAAGAAAAGAAAATGTATATAAAGATACTAATAATGTAATGTTAGAAAATTTAAGCCAATTAAACACCAATGATAAAATTAATGACAATCAACACTTGTTGGCTATTTATGTGTCCTTCACAATGTTATGTTTCCTTTATTATCTCATTTAATACTTACAATGACCTTTGGAGATAGTACTTATTATCCTTATTTTACAGATGAGACAACTAAAACACAGAGTTTAACAATGTATCCCATAATTACGTAACTAAAATGTGCTGAAACAAGACAAGAGAAAGCACTAATACGTTGCTATTTGTCTCTTAAGAAAATCCAGAAGTTTCCTCAGACATTAAAATTATTAAGAAGCTTAGCAAGTATACGAGAAATAAGATTGATATATAAAATAAACTAATAGGTTTTTTTTCTTTTTCTTTCTTTTTATTTATTTATTTATTTTTGTGGTGGGGGGGGTTTGCTAGAGGGTGTGAGTACTTGCCAGAGAGAGAGAGACAGAGAGAAAGTGAGAAATCACCCTCCGGGGCAGGGATGACCATGCTACAATCCCTTCTCCTCCATTCCTTCCTGGGATTTTGGGCACACAGGCACATGCATCCTGTGTGGTATTCAAGCAGCCAGGTCCGGGACTTGAATTATGGTCGGCCATGTGGGAGTCCAGAGCTGTAACCACCAGGCCATCTGCTGGCCCCACTAGTAGCCTTTTTATGCGGCAGTCTCAACCATTTAAACAAATGTTTCTACTCATTAAAAGAATTCTATTCAAAATCATAAAAGAAGGTACACAAGAATAAATCTAAAAAGTGAAATACTCAGGAAAAGGTCAATTTTGCACTAATTAAAAACTTAAGTACAACTCCAATTAAAATCTAGAAAGATCTGTTGAAAGAGGAGGAAATACTTAAAAGGCAGATCCTTAACACAAGCCAAAATATTGGGCTGTTGGAAGAGTCATGACATATTTTTACTATGTTTTGCTATGTAAAAATGCGTCATGACTTTTCTGACATCCAAATAGTTACTTTTAAGGAAACATAAGAATAAGGTCTTTGCCCTACTAAATAATTATATACTATAGTATATGAAAACATATAGTATCTCATAATATACACATACACACGCACACACACATGCACACACTAAGCTAGAGTATTCAGAACAGTATAATGGTAATACAGGAGAAGAAAGATCGTAGATCAGAGCAGAAAGCAAGAAGCATAACCTCTCCTCTATTTTATTAGTATGGATATAATACAGGAATAGAGCCAAACCATTCCGCTAGATTATAAACCAGGAGACATGGCATTTATCTCTCCCCCAATATCCTGTGACTAGGAATGCCCAGAAGAGTGCTTTGCACATGGTAGGCCTCCTCAGGCCATTGAACTTTAGCTGGCTGAAGGAGGCCTTTGGCATTCCCACCAGCATTTTCTCCTTCCATGGAAACAAGGCCACCAGGCTTCAAAATCCCACAACAAGGCTGACCCTGAAGCCATGAGAAATGCTGTCAGTTTGAGTTTGCTTTATTGTGATGGGACCTCACATCTCTTACATGAGCTTTTCCCTAATGTAGTCATTTTTATTGATTTTCTAGATTCTTCTTTGAGTGCTATCATATTCTGCTAGCATTCTGTGTCTGATTTATTGTTTGATTTTTAAGGTGGGGGTTGGGGGACTCACTCCTTTGCAATTTTCCTGCCTCAACCTCCTAGCTGCGACTACAAGTACATGTCACCATGACTAGTTTGTCAGACAGGTCTCACTACGTTGTCCAAGCCAGACTTGAGCTCCTGATCCTCCTGCGTTGACCTCTAGAGTTGTTGGGATTACGACACCCACCACAAAGTGTCTTTGGGTTGGATAGGAATCAAACCCAGGCCTCCCAAATGGTACCAACCAGTGGAGCACAGCAGTGTGTACCACTGCAACCAGGCCTAATTTTTTTTTTTTAAGCATGTCATGCAATAAATATTTGTTGAATATGTAGAATATTTGTTGACTGTGCAAGAAAATGAAATAAACATGTATACTGATTTTACAAAGGCTGAAAAATAAACACTGAACGCTGTTTGATGTTTCTACCTAAACACGCAAAGAAGCAGAAATAGTTCGACTTGCTAAAAAGTAGGAAGTAACAAGAAAAGCTCAAACCTTTCAACTACTTCAATGTCAAAGCAGAATCGTTTGTCAATTGAATCCGTCTTTCGTCGGATACAGGATTTTAATTTAAACATTTCCGGTGAGCTAGTAACAAGGCCATTCTGAAACATGAAAGGCATCACATTATTAACAGGACGACGTGGTGCAATGAAATCCATAAGCTAAAAGTTGCTGCATTATAATGTTAGCTTTAGAGTACAAGGTACGTATAAAGATCATAACCACACTGCTCTTTTTTACCCTCTAATATTAGCTGCCCAAATATAATACACCAAACCATTTTTTAATAAATCAACTACATATATGTTTTATTTCAAAGAATTTGTGACATATCACCCAGTATCCTTCCATATACATATTTATACTATTATGCTAAATTATACTATTAATATATGCACACTCCCTTAGAACTTCAGATTTAGAAAAGGTAGGAAATGATAGATTTATTGTAACATCACAGGTGGAGCTACACAATGCTCATTAGCATACAATACTGTTGCTTTTAATACAAATTTCCTAGACTGCTAAGAAATTATCATTGTGTATGTGTTATCTTTGCAGCAGAGCCTTATGGTGTTAAATGAAGCTAGCTCCAAGTTGCAAGAGAGCTGCCAAAATACAAATTTTAGCATGTACTTGCTATAATGCTATTACTACTGAGTGTACCGTGTGATTACACTGTTGGTAACCAACTGCTACTCTGCTACTAAAACTAAAACTCTTTGGAAAGGATCCAGACTCTTTGGATAGGCCCAATTAAATGACATTCTCTTTTATATTTGAGATGCCAGCCTCAGATAAAAGTTTATCCAGTGTCTAATACAGTCTATCTTTGGTTGCAAATCTCATCAATTTATGAAAAGAACACTAACAACTCCCTACCACATAAACTGAAATTCTGGCAGTATCTATTAATACTATACAGAGTAGAAAGCAGGTATGAGTATGGCATTTAATCGTCTCTCATTATAGTGGCAATCTCGAGTCTCCCTGGTATGTTCTCCTTTATTTAACATCTTTCAGGCTGAATGATTAGAGTCTGATGAATGCCCAAGTACAATAAGTTTCAGGGGACACATTTGAGTATCTGCATGTGTATACATTAGCTCAACCCTTCACTTTGTTGTGATCTATACCACAAAATGACCGGGTGAGTCACTTTCTATTTTTTAATCTGTCAACATAGGCTGGACTAAATTATCTTCAGGGTAACTCGCAGTTCTAGGATTCTTAGATCATGGCCTAATTATCTAATTCACAAATTTGACCATTTGCCCTATTTATCTCTACTCACAAAAAGATGATACACTGCACGCAATAAACCTGCAGCATTTCTCAAATCAAGTTCACTGTTTTCTCATATACTGTTCAATAGCCATGCAAGACATTCCATGACCAATTTACTTTCGGGGATAAATTAGCATTGACTAGTTTCTCCTGAGAACCATGTTGGCCAGGATTCTGGCAAACAGTACACAGTGAAGAAGAAATAATGGCATTGGGGACAAATGCAGCCTCTCACAGAGGCAACCTGGGAAGAAGATACAGGGTCTGTGAGGCTGGTGCAGCCACTGACAGTCCCTGACTGGGCTGCTAGTCAACCACCAGCACAAAGTGACTGCTACCAGGGATGTGAGACGACATCTCAGCCATCCACTGAGGGATCCCCACATTTAACTCAACTGTGTACATACACTTCAAAGTCAAGGAAAAGGGAAATCCTGGCCACTCTTTTTCAGTCATTAAAGTCTCTGAAATGAAGTTACTTTCAATTTTTAAAAAAAGTATACACAGGTTAGAAAACAAGCATGTGAACTTTTTTCCTTTTACTTTCATGACTTAAATGACAAGCTTGGTTGGAAAACAAAACATGACACTCACCATTTTCCCACTGGATTTCATTTCTGAAACACTCATTGTAAATGTTTTACTTCCTTTATCGTACGTACAGTAATGCTTAATCCATGTAAAACCAAGGGGCCCTGATGTACAAGGGAAAAGAAAACATTTCAGATATTGTTAACAAACAACTTGTATCTATGTCTGTATATGCTCCAGTGTTATGATACCCAGTTAAGAATCCACACAACCATGCTAGTTTGGGACATGTACTAAGAATGTGAAAAGAAAGGACAGTGGCATATGGCAGAGTGCCTAGGAACCAAACAACCCGGTGTTACCTTCAGCTCCGACAGCAGCTCTGTAACTGATGAGTTACTTTAGATCTGAACTTCAATATCTCATCTATAAAAATAGTATATTTGTACCCTTCACAGAAGTCAGTTAAATGAGAAATAATAATGAGGGTTTTCTTTTTTTTTTTTTTTGGTTTATTTTTATTTATTTATTTATTTTTGAGAGGTTTTAGCTACAGGGTGCGTGTGCTTGCCAGAAAGACAGAGAGACAGAAAGCAAAAAATCTCCTCCGGGGAATGGCCACACCAGAATCCCTTTTCCTCCATTCTCCTCTCAGGATCTTGGGCACGCACATACACATGCCCGGTTTGAGCTTAAGCTACTGGTCCGGAACTTGAACCGCGGTCAACTATATGGGAGTCCAGTGACACAGCCATTATGCCAACTGCTGGTGCCAATAATCTGATTTATTAAAAATGGTTTCTTTACTTCCACCCTTGTTCTCTATTCTCAAAACTGTCAAAATACTTGCAAAAATTTTAGCCAAGTCATTTAATCCTTTGTTCAAAACCCCTCAGTGACTTTCTACTTCATTTCAGAAAAAAGCTAAAACGTGTATTATTCACAAGGCACTGCACAATCTGGGCTTTTATTCTTTTCCCTATTTCACATGCACTACTTAATGCCTCATATGCTGTGCTACAGCTACTCTGGCCCCCTCACTGGTCCCTGAACACAGCGAATGCATTTCTGCCGCAAGGCATTTGCACTCACTCTTCCCAAGCTGCGCTACTTTTCCTTCAGACACCTGCATGCCTTGCACTACCATCTTTGGTCAGGTTGTCTCCCACATGCCATCTTCATTACACAAGCTTTCCTGGGGAAATATCTACCATCTCAACACGTTCATCTTAGCATTTCTTACCTCTCTTCGTTGTTTTCCTTTCTTTGTAGCAATTATCACTATCTAAAATATTATAAACTTTACTATATTTGTTATGTTTCTACCAGCAGATGGTGTAATGGTTACATCGCAGGACTCCCACGTAGCCAACCACAGTTTGAGTTCTGGACCTGGTAGCTTAAAACTCACACTGGGCATGTGTGCATGAATGCCCAAGATCCCTGGAGGAAACTGGAGAAGAAGGAATTGCAGCACAGCCATCCCCCCAGGGAGGGTGATTTCTCATTTCTGTCTCTGTGTCTCTGTCTCTCCAAAGAGCACACATGCTCTATAGCAAAAACCTCTCTTAAAAAAATATAAAAAGCCAAAAAACTCTGAGGGTGGAAACACGTGCTGTTCACCTGCCTATTCTTTTTTTTTTTTTTTTTGGAGAGGTTTTCGCTATAGGGCGCGTGCACTCGCCAGACAGAGAGAGACAGACAGAAAGACAGAAAGCAAGAAATCACTCCCCAGGGGGGATGGTCACGCCGCAATCCCTCCTCCTCCATTCTCCTCTTGGGATCTTGGGCACGCACGCACACACGCCCGGTGTGAGTTTAAGCCACCGGGTCCGGGACGTGAACCATGGTCGACTATGTGGGAGTCCAGTGACATAGCCATTACGCTAACTGCTGTTTCCCCACCTGCCTATTCTTTATCATTTCAGTATTTATATTAAAGGAACTTGTACATATGTGATGTTCACGTTCATTTTCCCCTTATATAAATACTATGCAATGGTTTCCCATAGTGCACCACATTGCTGTGCAGTGTTCTCCAGAGGAATCAGATGCTGCCACTTCACCAGGGGCCAGGATGCATTGTTAGTCCAATTTTTTATGTCTAAAGAATAGATTTTCAGTTTCCCCCTCAGACGCCAAGTATCTTGTACCCAAATACCGCAGTGGGCTGAGTGGGTTAAAATAGAGTCTGGTTTCTATGTACCTTCTCTAGCCAGGGTCCTACCCTGCCTAAACCTGGACTTTTCTAGCAACAACTATGCACAACATTATTGCTGGCTTGATTTTAGAACCACATGTTTAAAAACAAGAAATTGAAATTTTAAAAAGCACTTCTCCAAGCAAGTGTTTCATAAGCCACTTGAATTTTTTTTTTCTTTACTAATAATGTCCTTGGTGTCAAGTTTAACTTTAATACTTAAGCTACTCCAGATTTTTAAATTATGGGGTACAGCCATACGCTTTGTAATCAGAACGGATTACTGTAATTAACTTCAATTCTGTTTGGGGACTATTTCACATGAAAATACTTAACAATACTTGTTGATAATTTTCTTACAAGCAATGTAAAATATCTTAGAGGCTTAGAGCTGATTAGTGGAAAGTGGCTAGCTGGATATTCTCAGAGTAACTTTACTACTTAGGTAGTGATTTAAGAAGCATTACGAGCTATAATTCTTAAATAAAGCTACTGCACTGCTTGGATGACCTTTTGCAAACAAGTTTTTTTTCCCCCTGCCTCTATCTTGAGTTCGAAAATGCCTGCATTTAACTTCAAGTCTGCTGCACACACATGCTGCAGTTTTTAGTTCCCTGGCAATGGGCCAGGGCAGATGTTCTCAGACGAGCAATTCTAATGTTCTTAAAAGTATCTGAGAAAATTAAAAAATTATGACAGCCCAAAAGTTGTAAAAATAAGTTTAATTATTTTACCCAGTAATTGTCTGAGGTTGCTGAGACAAGTATTTGAGAAGTGGAAGGGGAATTAACACTCACTGAAGACCTACTAAGTGACAGCATTTTATCTAAGAGCCTTTTAAACCAGACATCACAAAGAACGCACTGCATACAAGGAAACTGAGTCTAGGAGCTGCAGATGGCACTCTTCTCTTCAGTAATGAGTGGTTATTTTTAGGGGTATGGTATTCTAGAGTTGTTTTAAGGATGAAATAAGAAGCCAGAGGGTGGTGCGGTAATAAAACATAATGTACAAGGCAACCCCACGTGGGAATGTTCCAGGTGCAAGTTTGGACACTTTCTTGAATATCCCCTGCACGTGCATGCCCATGGCCAGGGGCTGGCTGAAGCGGGCCATGTTGGGATCCTGTTGTGAGTGCACATGCGTGCTTTTTCTCTCTCTTAAGAAATTAATGGGTCGGGACCAGCAGTTAGTGTAACAGCTATGTCACTGAACTACCATGAAGTCAACCGCGGATCGAGCCTCGAACCTGCTGGCTTAAATTCACACCAGGCGCGTGTGCGTGCGTGCCCAAGATCCCAAGAGGAGACTGGAGGAGAATGGATTGCAGCGTGGTCATCCCCCCTGGGGGGTGATTTCTCGCTTTCTGTCTCTCTGTCTCTCTCTGTCTTTCTGGCAAGTGCATGCGCCCTATAGCAAAAACCTCTACAAAAATAAAAGAAATTAATGAGTAAACGCAACAAAAAGAATTAAATGTAATAATTATAAATTGCGCAGAATTGTAAAGAATCATGGTAAGCACAGAAATATTATTTTTAACACCATCAATAACAGAGATATCTTACATATGTTATCTCTTCCTTCTGCAACATCACTATGAGACAAGTATAAATATCCCTTTTATGAAAGAGGAGACTGAGCTCAGAACACTATTTGCAAGAGCCACCCACGTAATCAGTGACAGACGTGGATTGCCAACATAGTTCAATTCTAGAATTCACACTCCTCCTGGTTAAGCTGAAATCTATTAGGATGTGATTTAATGCCTGCCTGGAGGTAGACAACGTGAAAACCACCTATCCAGAGAATGTGGAGCTCTGTGTCCAAACGACAATGAAGTGCTTCTACCCGATCAAATTCATCTCCATTTATCACTCAGGTTTAGCTCTGATTTTTACTATTGATCACCGGTTGCTAATTGCATGACTTTGTCTGATGCCTTCAAGTACGAAATAAAAACCCTAAAGCTAAATTCTTTATCTCATTTTCTGTTCCCCACAGAACTTACTCATTCAGTGATAGCAAGCACACAATCAATACATCTTAGTGAACTGGCTAGATTTTCTTATTATGAATGCTTTCAAAGATTCCAAGTTGGAAAAAAGCTTTGAATATTTGTCTCTCATAGAAAAATAATTCCTCAAACATATAAATCCATTTTTTTTCTTTTTAAATCCCTAGGCCATAAATTGGGGACTGGGGGAAGACTGGGGGTGGGAAAGACAGGAAGAAGGAGAAATTATGAGACAAGTAAGAGAACTTAAAAAAAAGAATTATTTAATTTTATTTATTATTATTATTTAATTTTTGCTATAGGGCATGTGTACTCACTAAAGAGAGACAGAGCCAGAGAGAGAGAAAGAAAGAGAAAAGCAAGCTGCCAGGTCCAAGACTTGAATTGCGGTTAGCCATATGAGAGTCCTGCGCCTTAACTACCATGTTACCTGCTGGTCCTGAGAGAGAACTTTCAAAGTGATTAACACATGCTCCTTACGTTGAATTATGGTGACGGTTTCACAGGAGCATGCATATGGTAAAGCATGTCAAACTGCATATTTGTCATATGTGCAATTTGTTTCCTAATTATACGTCAGTAAAGCCGTAAAAATGCAAGCAAATAAAGAAGAAATCAAGATGGAAATTGTCTTGGGGGGAGAAAGGCAACATCAAAAGAGAGGATATTTAAAAAAAAAAAGAGAGAGAGAGGGAGAGCTCAACTCTGGAAGCCTCCAATACAGGCCCTGCTATTGGGCCATCACAGCAAGTGTATAATCAAATGAATACTTCACTTATTCATTTATTTTTATTTGGCAGAGGGTGCCTGTGCTTGTCAGAGAGGGACAAAGAGGAGAAAGCACCCCTTGATTGAGCATGGCCATGCAACAGTCCCTTCTCCACCATTTCTCCATCTTGCTGGGACTTTGAGTATGCCCACATGTGTTCCTCAAGCCATTGGGCCAGACCTTGAACTGCAGTCAGTCATGTGGGATCCTTTTCCTTAACCACCAGGCCATAGGCTGGCACCCAAATAAAGCTCTGAAGAGGATAGGTTAGGCTGTAGGTGAGCCTGGAGACAGTGAGCACGCAGTTACGAGGCCACTGCAAAAAATTAACCTAAGTCGGTAGAGACGGAGAGAAGTTGTGGAGTCAAAGGTTACGAAGGAGACAGAACGGATGGATTCTGCTGCAGGCTATAGAAACACACTTGAGTTTTGGGACCAGCAGTTGGCATAACGGCTATGTCGCTGGATTCCCATGTAGTCAACTGCGGTTTGTGTCCCGGACCCGGTGGCTTAAAACTCACGCTGGGCGCGTTTGAGTGCGTGCCCAAGATCCCAAGAGGAGAATGGAGGAGAAGGGATTGTGGCGTGGCCACTCCCCCTGGGAGGTGATTTTTCGCTTTCTGTCTCTGTCTTTCTGGCGAACACACGCGCCCTATAGCTAAAAACCTCTTCAAACAAACAAACAAAAAAAAAAAAAAAAAAAAGGGAACAAGCGGTTAGCGTACTGGCTGACGTGACTCCTACATAGTCGACTGCGGTTTGCGTCCTGGATCCGGCAGCTTAAAACTCACACCGGGCACGTGTGCGTGCGTGCCGAAGGTCCCAAGAGGAGAATGGAGGAGAAGGGATTGTGGCGTGGCCATCCTCTCTGGGGGGGTGTGATTTCTCGCATTCTGTCTCTCTGTCTCTCTCTGTCTGGCGAGTGCATGGGCCCTAAAGCAAAAACCTCTAAAAAAAAAAAAAAAAAAGAAAGAAAAGAAAAGAAACACACTTGTTTTGTAGCCTAAGAGAATGGGTGGTGTCATTAGGAAATATTAAAAAACAAACAAACAAACAAAAAACCCTAGAAGAAAGGTCAGTCCCTGAAAGTGCTTTATGATCAGTTCAGAATGACCCAAAGGAGACGATAGGTACCTTACAACACAAGTCACCAATGTCAGGTAAGTGCACCAAACACCGTTTAGTCTACCCAGTAATCCCCAGGTTACTAAAGTGCCTGCGCTATCTCAAAGCAAAAGGGGGATTTGGGGACCAAAGGTCAGGGTCACATTCTATTGGGAGACCTGTGGTTGGCAGGGTGGTGAGTGGGCAGGAGGAGGCACCCTCTTGGTTCCTGTCACCAGGAATCCGAAGCAGCCTTTTATTTAATTGACCTTCCAAAATGAGGCTAGTCCACTGCTGGGATCTTTCTGCCAGCCCCTCCCTCTGCTCTACCCACCCTAAAAATAGGAGACATTTTCTTACACACCCCCAGAGAGAGGAAGGACTGTCACCCGGGTGCTGAAGGGTCCGGGGGCTGCCAAGGGTCCTTGTTCCTACTAGAACTATCTACCCCTGCAAGGGCAAAGAGCCCCAGAGACTAGGCTGAGCCCTGGGTCTGGTCTTTCAGTTGCCAGAGGTCTTGTGACCCATCTGATTCCAGGAAAGGAGATGCAGTGAAGCCAGAATGTGAGGAGAAGCTGCGGGACCAATAATGTAATGTAAGAAGCCCACGGATGAGAAAATGAGTTCTCCTGACACTGCTTCCTGTCCTCTCCCCCACCCTCCGGCCCTCCAGGGAAAACTGTTGCTTAATTTCTGCCATTCTCCTTTCATATATGTACTTTGGGGCCTTTTTTATAGCTGGAAAACAAAATACCACTCCACCAACCTGTATTTAAAAAGAAATGGAAATAACCATGTAAAGAAATAAATAAAAAATAAAGGTCCTTCGCTGACAGACTGGCCCATGTGTCCAACAGCTTGGGAACAGGTAAGCAAATCATGATACTGACTAGTGCATGGACCTCCAAGTAGCAGAGGGAGATACCATGTTTGAAGTCATTCTGTTATATGATCCAAAGCTTTCGGTTTGGAATACAGTATCGTGAGGCCAGCTCATAGTGCAATGGTTAAGAACTGTGCTTGGGGAGCAGGATCCCACGAGGCTATGGTTCAAATTCCAGCTCTAGGAGCCTGAAAACACCCAGGCATGTGTGTGTTCATGCCGAATTCAGACAGGACAGATGAATGAAAGAAAAAATGATTGTGGTGTAGGGGTTGAGGTGCTGGACTCCCACATGGCTCCCAGCAGTTCGAGTCCTGGACCCAGTGGCTTGAAACTCAAGCTGGGCACGTGTGTGTGCGTGCGTGTGTGTATGTGTGTGTGTGTGTGTGTGTGTGTGCCCAAAATCCCTAGAGGATAAAAAAGTGAAGGTATCGCAGCATGCCCATCACCCTGGGGGGTGATCTCTCACCTTCTCTGTTTCTCCATTGTATACAAGCAAGTATTTCTCAAAAACAAAACAAAACAAACTACACTGGCATGCCCAGGCCCCACTGGAGGGTTGCCTTTCTCCGTCTCTCTTTTCTTCCACCTCTCATTTTGTGTCTTTCTCTCTGGGGAGCATACACATCTCTGACAATAAAAAGGTATATATTGTGTACCCTCAAAAAATTCAACAACTGTTTTAACTCCTAGAGAGAATTAGAGAGAATGCAAATAATAAAATAGTACCAAGTCACAATGAATTAAAACAATAACAACAAAAACCCTTACACATGAGGACAGCACTTCCTCTTCCAGGTTCAAAGAGTCTACATTGTCAGGGACAGGAGATGGTGTACTGGTTATACCGTTGGACTGCCCCATGGTTAACCAAGGTTTGAGTCCTGGACCCAGAGGATTTAAACTCATGCCAGGCGCTTGTGTGTGCATGCCCCAAATCCCAAGATGAGAATGGAGGAGAAGGGACTGCGATGTGGCCATCCCTCCTGAGGGATGATTTCTCACTTTCTGTCTCTCTGGCAAGCACACACACTCCTTAGTAAAAATCTCTTTAAAAAAAAATTTTTTTAAAGTTCACATTGTCAACAAATTCTTTCATTTGGTCAAATCCTCTATTAATACAAAATACGAGCTCCTCTCAGTGCACCCTCACACCAAGGCTCTCAAACCTGAAATAATTATTTAAAATAAGTATTTCACAATTTCCCGAGAGTCCTTAAGTCAACTCTATACATCCTTCATATGAATCAATTAACTGGTCATTTTTCATGAATGGAGGGTAAAAGCTATTTATTATGTTCTAGTTATAGTGTACCTAGAAAAGTCACTAAGATCTATCATTGTGAGACTTGAAAACTGCAGACTGGCTCAGCTCCCTAAGTATGATATGAGAAAGAACATCGGCTCAGCTCCCTAAGTATGATATGAGAAAGAACATCAGGGATCCCAGATCTCCTGAGCCAGTGTCCATCTGCCTTCCAGTCCATGCGGTACTAAGTGCTTCTCCATTCTGTCAGACCAAACTGTTATTTATGTACTGCTGTCCAACAAATGAACATCATTTATAATGAACAACAAATATGCAAATATAAAGTGTGCTGGCATTTTAGGGACCCTGTGGCATGGATGTCAAAAACCTTTAAAAACTAACTTAATGCCTCTGAGAGTCCTCATCTTAAACCCTTTAACTAGAACAGTTTACCTATAAAAACAGCTTCTTTATTTTATTATCTACAGACAGGAAGACTTTTGCGCACAGCTACTCCATGTGGTTGCTGAGTACCAGCATGTGAGAAAAGTACAAAGACTGAAAATAAACACCTCGAAATTTTAAAAGTAATTTGACATGGCTGCACAATCCAAGCGTATTTGTATTTGACAAAGACATTGATCCAGGATGGAAAGAAAATAAAAACAACTGCTCCTTCACTACAAACACCATCAGAGCCCTGCTTTAGGGCACATCTGACTTGAAACAGAAAGTTAATTTACTTCCAATAGTCAAACTGGTTCCACTTAATGACAAGTAACGTGCAGAAAGGACCCTGGTTACACAAGTTTGAATGACTTTTTATTAATTTTTATGGAGAGAAAAGTGTGAGGCAATTCTAACAATGCTCTATTGAGTTTGATACTTATTTTCTAACCTCAGGAAGTAGAATGTCAATCTGACGTTACATTATTGCAATTTTACTCCTGAAAATTGATGGAGCACAGAATTAAATGAAATAACTCTGCTTGAAGAGAAAACTATTATCATTGTCACTAGGATGATTCATTCTGATATGGCTTTGATTTTCAATTTTCCATGAAACTTATAAATTAAGATTAAGTATCATGGGACCAGCAGATGGTGTAATGGTTGTCACTAGGCTCCCTTGTAGTCAACTGCAGTTTGAGTCCCAGACCTGGCAGTGTAAAACTCATGCTGGGCACGTGTACATGCATGCCCAAAATCCTGAGAGAAGACTAGAGGAGACGGGATTGCAGAGTGGCCATTACCACTGGAGGGTGTTTTCTAGCTTTCTGTCTCTCTGGTGAGCACATGCACCCTATAGCAAAAATCTCTAACAACAACAACAAAAAGTCAATATCACAATAAAATTCTGAACCTGGACTCATGTTACCACATCATCAGTGAAGACTTTAATTTTTAGGCAAACATTTTGTTCACTTGGACATCCTGATGACCAAATCTGGGAAAATGTCCTCATTTTGGTAGTTGTGGTGGCAGAGTGAATTACTCTAAATACTAGAAAGCTATACAGAATTTCCGTCTTTCCACTTGAGAGAAGTGAGGCGAATCAAGTTACATCTCACAGAAACAGAACATGAAGAGGGAAGTTCCATCTGTGACTCACGTTTCTCCTGGACGTAAAGATAGCCTTCCATGGTCCACTGGCTGGGAGGTCTGTAGTCCTGATTGGCAGACTTCATCCTTTGCATCAATCGCTCTACCTCTTGTCGAGTACTTTCAAAATTATTTCTCGTCTTAAGTAAACAAAAACAACAATTTTCATCATTGTTTCCTTTCTAGTTTAAGGATAGCCTGAAAATTTTAAATTGCAAATGGTACAAAAGGTAATTTTGATTCTTACATCACTATTCATCATAACCCTGACCCTGTAATGTTGGGTTCTAAGGTTTGATTTTGAATCACTTTAGTGAAAACTACTCTGAATGAACTTCTGCATGTTTCTCTCTTGAACCTATGTGTGTACGTATAAGAAAGAGAGACAGAGAGACAGAGAAAGAGAGACTTTCTTTCTATTTTCACACTCAAACATTATTATGTAGGGAGTAAACTACAGCAATTAAAATGTGTAAGACTTGGGACCAACTCCATTGGTGCAGCAGTAATGCATGGCTCAGAAGAAGCTGCGTGCCACATGGCAACTGTGGTTTGAATTCTAGGCCCAATCAGTCTGAAACAGTTGGGTACACATGTGAATGTCCAAGATCCAATGGGCTGCAGGACTGGAGGAAGGTGATCCTGTGTGACCAGACTCTGTGAAGTGTGGTCCTCTCTCTCTCTCCTGTGTGTGTGTACATCTCTATCATTAACAAAGAAAAGGGAATTTATTTTTTAAAATGTAAGATTCATCAAGTAAGGTTCTGAATTTCCTAACACCAAAGGTAAAAAACATATACAAAAAGATTTAATTTCTTTTGAGCAGAAAAGAAAAATTAAGCACACCTCTCTTTGATATCTGTAACACTGACCAAATCAAGAACACCACCATTTTTGTTCTACAGGCTTTTTTGAAGAAATATCATACAACTTGCTTTCCAGAAATACTAACAAAGCATAAAAACATAGGCTTCCAAGTACTAACTTGCAAAATATAGTTTTTCTCATTTAATAAGCTTACTTAAGGTATGTAAAGTATATAGCTTTTTTACTATGAAGGTCTCTTTTATATTCAGTCCACCTTATATCAACAATATGTGTTAAAATCTGACTCTAAAATCTTCCAGGGGACCATAATAAAAGAACTGGATATTAAGGCAGGTTACAAAAATTTTGTCACTTTTGCTATTTTTCTCTTTCAAACATCTGATTCCTTATTTCTCTCCTGTTCCCAAATCCAGGGATCTTAATGTAATTATATTTAATATGGAAATAGTCATAAAAATACTGGGTGGCTTGAAAAATCATTGCACATTTTTGCATACAAAAACACAGAAAAAATGCATTATGATTTTTCTGACCACCCACTACCTCAGCTTTTATAATTTTCCCTTTCAATATTTACTGAAAAAGTTGAAATGCATTCCATATTGAAAAACTATGAAATGAATAAAATGTGAATTCTAGAAAATCTAAGTTAAATAAAAGCAAAAACTCAAAACACAAGTAGACTAAATCCAATTACATATTTCTCATGGGACACTCCAACTCTGTAGTTCTATTTATTAGACATGTCTAGAATAGCAAGAATCAGATAAGCAGAGAAACATAAGCTTTTCATAGAAAATTAAATAAAACATTTCCAAATTATTTTGGATGTAGACTAATATACAGTCAAGATTACAGTTATTGTAAAACCTCAGCAATGAGGACTTTATTATTTGTCAGGCTTGATAATACAGAAATGGGCTGTCTAAATTTTTAAAAATATAAATGGTGCTTTGCATTTAAAAATCACAATTTGCTGTGTAATCAGAGATTAAAAGAATTAGGTAACTTAACAAAACAAAAACTGATAGACTCTGTGTAGATAATTCTCATTTATGTTTCAAAGCAGTCACTTTGAATGCTTCAAAACCACCAATTTATTATTTGGAAATAATAAATAGCAGACATTTTATACACAATATCAGAAAGAGGTGAGACCTTAGAATATTCAAGTATAATCCTTTCATTTCACAAATATAGATATGAAGCACCTTTAGAACATAAGATTTGCCTAAGGTCACCTAATAATATCTTCTCTTGCTTTACTGAGGTAATAGCAACAAATACAAACTGTACATATTTAAAAGGGGCAATGTAAAGCTTAGATATATGTATACATTGTGGAATGATTACCACAACCAAGTTAATTAACATACCCTGCATCTCATATAAATTACTTTTGTGTGTGTATGGTGAGAACAACTTAGATTTACTCAAATTTCAAGTGTATAATACAATATCATTAATTATAATCACCTCACTGTGCAGTAGATTTCCAGAACTTAATCCATCCTATCACCTAACAAATACGAATCTTAAAAGCAAACATTTCCAAACTTCCAGGTTACCTTCAACTTAGTAACATTTTGTTTTATGAAATTCACTAGTGTAAATTTTCCTAATGTAAGGTTAGCTGTTTCCTGTTGCATTTTCACCAGCAGCTATGAAAATATTTTGAAATAAACTTGTAAAGTGGTTTCTCCAAATTTATGAGTTTGTACTATAGTTAGACACAGTTTTAAAAGAGTCCAAGGTTTGACTTGGTCACAACTTCATTGTTCTGTGACCATCAAATTTGCTAAGGTATAGTCTTACATTCTGCAAGTTGAACTGCAGCTGTTGCTTATATGGTGCAAATTCCTGGGCGAGTTCATATCCCTCATGGTAAAAAGTAAATAAACCCTGCAGGAATGACAAAAGCTGCAAAGATAAAAGAAAAAAAATGAAAACTTATTTTTAAAAAGATGATCACCAAATTATTTTTTAAATAATTCATTTCATCTTATATATTATTATTATTATTAATAATTTGCAGAGAGAAAGAGAGAGGGAAAGTGAGAAAGCAAGTCACTAAGTCTGGGACTCAAACTGTAGTCAGCCACGTGGGAGTCCACATCGGTGAATCTGTGAACAGAACAAGAGTAACAATATTAAACAGCGTTGTTAATTAAAAAGTTTTGAAGGGTCAGCAGATATCATGGAGATTAAGAATGCTGGATTCCTTATGGCCCACTGCATACTTCAAGTCCTGGACCCAGTGACTTGAAAAATATTCTGTGACTGCATGCCCAAAATCCCAAGAGGAAAATGGAGAAGAGATTGGAATGTGGCCATTCGCCCTGGGTGAGGGGAGGTGATTTCTTGTTTTATCACTACCTTCTGTCTCTGTCTGAGCAGTGCATGTACCCTGTATTTTTAAATATGCATGAATTTAAATATTTAGCAAATAAAAAAAAACTGAAAAGATAAATGCAACCTGAGGAAGCAGTCAAAGATAAAAATAGAAAATAGTGCATGGTAAAACAAGAATATGATATAAATAGTACATAAATCAAAATACAATTACCTGATCATAAAAATAAGATGTTAGCTAAAGAGTTCAGGGACCAGTAGATGGTGTAATGGTTATGTCACTGGACTCCCATGTAGTTGACCGTGGTTTGAGTTCCAGATGGGTGACATAAAACTCATGATGGGTGTGTATGCATGTGTACCCAAACTCCTGAGAGGAGAATGCAGGAAAAAGGATTGTGGCATGGCCATCCCACCTGGGGGAGGAGTAATTTCTCACTTGCTGTTTCTCTGTCTCTCTGGAGAACACATGTGCTCTATAGCAAAACTCTCTTAAAAAAAAAAAAGAAAAACAAAATAATTTATTAGGAAATTGCAGCATACACAAATAATTAAATGCAGAGAGAAAGAGAGAGGGAAAGTGAGAAAGCAAGTCACTAAGTCTGGGACTCAAACTGTAGTCAGCCACGTGGGAGTCCAGTGTCTCAACCACCATACCACCTGCTGGCCCTGATCATCAAATTATAATATTAGATAAATATATACCTCATTCTAATTCTTTAAGCAAGTAAATTTTCAATCTTCTTGTTTTACAAGACAGGCAAAATAATCAGGCATATGAAACAGAAATCACAAAAACTAGTTTTTATTCCCTTTCCTGGTAGGCAGAGATTTAATTTTTGAGTCTGAGTACAGATAGTTGTTCTGTAAACTACTATTCAACTACTATTCAAATGCATTAAAGAACTACCCAAAAGAGATCACTATGGGACATAAAGATCAAAGTAGCATAGGTCCTTCCCTGGAAGACATACTAAACAAAACAGGGAGCTAGACGGATCCCACATGGTCGATCATGGTTCAAATCCCAAGCAGCTTGCCCAAAATTCTATCAGGTCAAAGAAATGCAGGAAAAAGGATCATGGTATAACCAGGTCTCATTGGGGAAATCTTCTGTCTCTCTCTCTCTCTGGCAAGCACATTCGCCCTCTGACAACAGAACAAAACAAAATAACAAAAACTTTTAAAGAGGGGGGTGGAGATAAAATATGCCTAGATATTAAGAGGACTAAACTAGTAAATCACGGGTTAGAAGTATCCAAGGGAAGGAATAAGAATTTGTCCAGATGAAATTAAGGAAAGTATCACAAGGTGGCAGTACTGTTTTGACTATTAAACACCCAACATTTTAACAAGGAGTAGGAATAATGCAAAACAGAAGAAAGAATTGAGCAAAAACATGGGACTAGATAACACACATCTTTCATATCAGTTACACGAAACTGTCATTTAAAAACCACAATTTCTATTACCCTAGCCTTCTAATTTCAAATTCATGTGTACTCGTTTATACTTGTCAACTATCTTGATCTCTCCCATCACCTTATTGTGCCATAAAGTTAGGAAATATTGTGGAAAAATGTCTCCTAATTAGTCTGTACTTCATTCTTTTAAACTAGAAACAAAAACACAGTTTAAAAGCATTTTCACTTGTGAATAACTTTTGGCCACTTCCTCTGTTTGGGCAGGCGGGTAGGATTGGGCCAGGCATCAAACAGTAACTGAGTTAGGATTTCTAGCAGATAAATAGGGCTCTATCTGGAAACAGTCACAAAATTATTTTCTTCCTATACACAAGTCAACTTCATACAAAGCTATATTCATTTCAGAAAGCATATACTTTTAAAAAAAATAGCTATATTTTAAGGACTTTTCTTTTAAGAATTTTTTCTTTTTTTAATTCCAGGTTCACTTTTAAAAAATATTTACTTAGTTCCATTTGTCATTATTATTTTTTAATTTGACCAGAGAGAGAGAGAGAAAAGGAAAGCAAGAAAACAACCCATCAGGTCTAGGACTCGAACTGTAGTTGGCCACATGGGAGTCCAGTACCCTTATTCACCATGCCACGTGCAAGGTTTACTTATTTATTTCTGCTATCAGAGATAGGCACTCCCAACAGTGTATTCACTATGATCTATCCTCAGTCTCTGTTGGCCCAAATCATGGGCATGTGTGCATGGCCAGGGTGCTCAGGTAGGTGCCAGGATGCAAACCCAGAACCTTTTCCCATGTGGGTCAGTTGTGTTCCCACTGTACCATTACCTAGTCCCAAGGACTTTATTTTTTTTTCAGCAGTTCCTGTTATTGTACCAAAATGTATTAACAATTTTAGAATTACTTTATTCTCTTGATTGTACATCAACCAGCAATTTATCAAGATTATCCTAAAATAAAGTTATAATACATTTATCAAATTATCCAATAAAATATAAAGTTTGTCTGAAAGTGTATACTGTGCTTAAGTAAACCAACTGCAGCTTAATATCAGATGGAAAAAATAACTTGTTTTGAAGTTTAGACGTGTGTTGGGGCTGTCAAAAAAGTCATAACTTTTTTGTGTGTTTATCAATGCAAAAATGTGTCATGACTTTTCCAACAACCCAGTAGATTCAGAGTTTTGTGGAGACAAAATAAGAAAACACTTCTGGAAATACTTAGGGATTACATAGATTAACATCAATGTCCTGAATCTCCGAATAGTTTACTGAAGTTGCTAGAGGAGAACTGTTTTATGTTTTACCATCTATAATTAGTCCACATTTAAACTATCTCACTACAAACTGGATGCTATTTAAAACAAACAAACAAACAAACAAAAAACAGGTGCTATTTTTGAATTAAACTAGTAAAGAAGATATTTTAAGGATAGCTGTAGTAAATCTTCCTGTAAATAACTCAACCCCTTGAGATAGGTCTTTTCTAATACTCTAAGTGTTCAAACTTGAGAAAAAGGCAAAGCACACTGATGATTCTGAAATATGAGGTAAGCCATTGAGAACCCCACAAAGAACATGGCTTAGCCATTCCAACCAATGGTCAGTTGGAATCCTTAGGCCTCAGAGGGGTATGACATATTTGCCTGGCTTTAGCATGCCTTGATATTCCGGCCCTAAAGTTTCACATTCTATCTCAGAAGGTTAGACATCTGGAGAAGATGTTTGGTACTCTCCAGCAAACTCCTAACTGCCTGTGAGACACCTCCTCACAGGAAGTACCTCTTATCACTTGCTGATTCACTGAACTGCATGTGGGTGCCCTTACCTCAGACTCTCTCAGAGGGAAGTATTTGAACACTGGCTTTGCTAAACTGCTTTCAAATGTTTAATCACATTTTAAATACTAAGATTCTGGTCCCTTCGTTTTTCTCAGATTGTTCTATATCCTCAGCATTTTATACAGAGCAACTTCAGTCAGAGTGAAAGTGCTTTCTAGAAGAATTCAGATTCACTTAGTGGGATACATATGCATTAATCTCACAGCACATTTTGAGCATCCATTAGGGAATGTATAACTCTATGGAAGGCACATAAAATTACACACGAAGAACCAGCTACCTTTTTATTTTGTTCCTCATTTTTGGAAGCAGCTTTTGGGAAAATCTAATGAAGTCAGCACGGATGAAACTGCCTCTAGATGGCAGCAAAGTTAAACTTTTCAAAATTGGAATTTCTACTAGTGCATTTTACCTTCAATAAATCCGATAATGCTAAACCAAGGGAATTTGTAATAGGACAGCCTGAAAACCTTTAAGGATTGCATTTCTCACATGTCATTTTCTTTTCTTTTCTTTTTTTTTTTTTTTGGAGAGGTTTTCACTATAGGGCGTGTGCACTTGCCAGAAAGACAGAGAGAGAGAGAGACAGACAGAGACAGAAAGTGAGAAATCACTCCCCAGAGAGGATGGCTATGCTGCAATCCCTTCTCCTCCATTCTCCTCTTGGGATCTTGGGCACGCACGCACGCACATGCGCCCGGCCTGAGTTTAAGCCACTGGGTCTGGGATTCGAACTGTGGTCGACTAAGTGGGAGTTCAGTGACATAGCCATTATGCTAACTGCTGGTCTCCACATGTCATTTTCTATGTTCAATTTGCCTGAGTGGCTAAGATGTGGAAAAGACTACTATCTCAGCCTACTTTAAAGCTTAACATTTAAAATAGTAACAGAAGTGGCTAGAAGGTGGTATGACGGTTAAGGCACTGGGTCATGGTTTAAGTCTTAGACCTGGTGGCTTAAAATCACGTCAGGTATATGTGCATGCTTGTCCAAAATCCCCAGAGAAAAATGGAAGGGCTTGTGGTGTGGCCATTCCCCCATTGGGGTGATTTCTCACTTTCCCTTTCTCTCACTTTCTCTGTTTCTGGCAAGCACAGATGCCCAAAGAAGAAACAAAACAAAACAAAATCTTAAAAAATAGTAATAGTGAGGCCAGTAGATGATGTAGTAGTTATGTTGCTGGACTCCCACATAGCCATCCGTGGTTCAAGTCCCAGGACCCAGTGGCTTAAATCTCACACCAGGTGCATGTACATGCATGCCCAAGATCCCAGGAGGAGAACGGAGAAG